TAACATATTTCGTGATAGAATTATCGAAAGAGCATTTGATAAGGTATGCAAATGAATAAGGTTCATGTGCGAATGTTCTATTAGTAAAGGGTTTATTCGGATCTGGCTGACTAGTATGTATCGGTTTCAGAACTGATTCGAAATCTGCATAAATAACGAATGGTACTTTCATCTGTTTCTCAAATTTCTCGAATTTCAAAATGTTTTCAGGTACTGAATTTCCAAATTTATCGACTTTGATCTCTGTGGACGGAGTTGTAGTATATGTATGATTACAATCATTCAGCTGATGGCGTAACAACTTTGTTTCATCTGAGAAATATATCAAACAACCGTCGCAAAAAAATTTCTTATGCGCTTTGGCAGATATCTGGCTAGATACCAGCCTTGATAAATTCTTTATCCAGCAATAGTGGCTATTTCCAGTTTCATCATCTGTGGTCAAAAGTAAATTCACATGTTTACTCATTCTTTTCTTGGAGTAATACAGTGGGCCGACTACATGATATTTCACTTGATGATCTTCAAATACACTCTCTAACCCGTAAACGTTGATGGAACAATCATTGAGAATTTCGAATTTTGGAATGCTACTCACTTTAACAGGGAACTCTATACCCACCAAATTCAGAACTGTAGAATAGTGCGGATATGAAGAGGTTTCGCAAACATTAGCTCTTGCCGGATACAGTGCAGACGTCACAGCCCAAGCGAAACAGCACTCGTCCTGATTCACTATGTTTACAACGGCCTTTTTATTCTCTATGAAGCTAGGTAGCTTCATGTAAGAGCATCCACGCAGAGGGCTGTACTTGTTGATATTGATTTCCAGGAACATTATTTTTTCTAAAGCCCAACCTATAACAATAGTAACATCTGTTAATAATCAGAAATATTTCAAAAATCATACCAACTCACCAGAATCACGCTCCTCGAATTCGGTCGTTTGATTCAATAAGATGTCCTTGAATGTGTCAACCACGGCCTCCAAATCCAGCGATGAATCCATGATGTGATTTGGCGTCATGAAGGATTTGATGTCATGAAGATCTTGGGATTGTAAAATGTATCTTCCAAACACTTCCATATTCACCTTGATGGAGTGGTGAATCGAGATTATATTATCCAATAAAGATATAATGGTTGCCTTATTCTCATTAAAAAACGTATTGTAATCCAATACATCAGTTCTGCATTCCAATCGATAGCTCACAATGCGGCATTTGAACGCATTTTCAATCACATATACTCCGTCCCTATAATTGACGCAAGCGTTTGTCCGATGCTCCAATGTCCTTTTATGCGCACCCATTTTATCGGTTGGAATGGTCTTATTGCAAACAGTACATGTCTGCACATTTGCAGAAGTTGCTGCTTGCTGAGTGCCATCTTCCAGTCGAGGCTTCTTTGCAATAGATGGGTTGAAATTTCCCACACATGCAACCCTTTGATGACGTCGTAGATTGTCACTACGTGTGAAAGGTTTAGCGCACGCACTGCAAACTAACATTTTGTTTAGATGATTTATCACTCACAAAGAACTATTCAACTTGATGTTTGATGATAGTATTGAGAGAGAACTGTGCTCTCATGGACACAACTATTGGGTTTATATAGGAGGGAGTCATGACGTAACACAGCACCCCACTTCTACCAAAACGACCTCGACCAGCCTACTCCCATTTTCAAGGTCGCACACGCTTTCACCTCCCTCTCCAAGGTCGAGGTCTCTCTCTCTCTCTCTCTCTACAACTCAAGGTCACTCGTTCCCAAGGTCACATATGCGAAAGTTACTCGTACAACCTTCCTTCAAGGTCACTTTGTCTCGCCCTCAAGGTCACCTCCGCGTTCAAGGGCGTGCTGTCGACACTTCACTATACGAGGTTACTCCCGCCCAAGGTCAGACCCGTTCAAGGTCACTCCCGCCCAAGGTCACTCCCGCCCAAGGTCACTCCGCCCAAGGTCGGAGGACGGTGACCTAGGGCGGAGAGCCAGAACCGGCCAATCTTTACTACTTGTATAGCTTCTGTCTGCACAATCAGATTGGAGATAATGTTTCTGGTGGGTATAAGGACCATTTTCTATATTGAAGATCAAATTTCCAGTGACAAACCTTTGACAGCAGTCTCTGAATATTGATGGGGAGTAGGTATTGAATATCCTTATCGTCTCTTTTATTCGAGATTCGAGAAAGACACTTGCTTCTTCGATATTATTACGGTTCCTATCACTATGTATATCATTGCGTTTTCCACTCGTCGCACTAGATCGAACTTTTTCGGCACTGAGTGCGTTTTGCGTGGTCCACTGAGAATTTCAAGAACGAACTTTCATCAAGAAATGATTTTCACTGGTTTCCAAACTGGCTCGATGGCCGCTAAGAGTTCGAGTTTTCAGAAATGTGCTTGTACGACGATGCGATACACATAACCTCAAATATTCCAGTCACGAGTGGAAAAATGTTTGGAATTTGAATAATTATGAATGTCTCATCGAAGTTTATTACTATTATTACAATAATTTCCGAAATCTCAGGTACTTCGGATACAAGCGATATGATGAAGAAATGATGATTGAGATACAGAAGTACTACCTTACGAAACAGCGTTTACGGAAGATTCGAAATTACATAAAAGTTGAAAAACGCTATTCAAATGTGCGGGCATTGAACATATTCGATTGTTGATTCAGTAATGATGAAAAATACTAACTTCGTGAACGACACTTCAATGCTACATCACTATATTGTCGCATGATTCAATTGAACATCATTGACAATGAACTTTTATATACAGGGTGTCCCTCCGGGAACTGCATCGATCAATATATAAAAAACCATAGGTGGACCGAATTTGAAAATGTGGTAGTTTACTATTGTTGATAAGTGCTATCCGGCTAAAATATTTTGAAGTGGACCCCAACTTCGTTATTTCAAATGTAACACCCTGTATTTTATTGAATTTTTATATTCCGACTGAAGAGCTGATTTCATCAATGTATCACACTTGGGGTCTATCAGGAATGATTACAGAGATAATTGGGTGTACAAAATCGAGATTTTTCAACTTTAGGATTTTTTTGTGTTGAAACTATTCATTATTGATCAAAACGGCTCACATATTCCTATCTTAACTTTTGATTCACTGTCTACTGGAATTTAATTGGGAAAAATACAGGGTGCTTCAAGATTCAGAATTCTGATCACCATGCATGTATCTGTTCCAATTAAATGTCAGTAGATAGTAAATCAAAAATTTAGATAGGGACATGTGAGTTGTTCTGATCGATAATGAATAATTTCGACAAAAAAAATCCTAAAATTGAATACAGGGTGTTCCATTTGAAATAACGAAGTTGGGGTTCACTTCCGGTACAACCGGAAGTGTCACAATCTTCAAAATATTTCAGCCGGAAAGCACTTATCAACTTATCAACAATAGTGAACTACCAAATTTTCAAATTCGGCCCACCTATGGTTTTCTATATATATTGATCGATGCAGTTCCCGGAGGGACACACTGTATAATACTGTTTCTGGCTGGTTTCTGGCAGTGTCCACAGGGAAACTACAATAAGAGGTGAAATAATTCATTTCATGTGGACCAACGGAACCAAATGTACTTTCAATAGGTCGCGTGCACCCTGGAGGTAAAATAATGAAACACAACCTCACTTTTCTGTAAAACATTGAAAAACAACTTCACTTTCTGATTTGTTAACAGAGGAATCGAAGGATTAAGATAGTTTTTCACAATATTTCAGCATACGAATCGTGATTTTTGCACTATTCATTGATTCAAGCATGAAATCACATTGTGCTGTTGTACAATGCACAAAACATGCAGCGAGAGACGAAGGAATATGATTTCTTTATGTAAATAGTAATCTCACATTGTTTTATTCATCATGAAATTTTGTCACTTCTTATTAAAATTCCTTCTGCCACTTCTGCAATAGAAGCTACAACACACACAATCATATTTCGTCAGCATGTCAGACCAGTCCTTCCGTTTGATTGCATGAATCGAATCTTCTTGCATTATTTCGAGAATTTCACGAGTATTTCTATAGCTTCTATTGCAGAAGGAATTCCGATGAGAAATCAGAGAAATTACCAAATTTCGAAATGAAAATGTGAGTGACTATATAGTACTTACTTCTAAATCTAAATCCAACAGGATTCCTTCGTTTCCCGCTGCATTTTTTGTGCATTGAACAATGGCATGCGCGAATTAATGAATAGCCGAAAAACACGATTCGTATGCCAAAATAATTGTGAAAAACTATTTCAATCACTTGTAAACGAATATGAAAAGTTAGAATGTGTTTCAATTTTTCTCCTCCAGAGTCGATCATCTGACAGTTCTTGCACGCAACCCATAATTCAACTTCTTGATTGGCGAACAATTATTCTGACATATCAGATGATAAAAAGGTCGCACTAACTCTCTTTTTCTATTCCACTGCTTTGTGCTGGAACCGCACTTTATAGAAGAACCCACCATTGCCACTTTTACTTGCTCTGAGCTAGTGCACTCTGTAAATCGGCGAGTGGAAAACGCTATAAATGTATATTGTAAACTATGCAATAATGAGGGCTAACATAATATTTTGTTCACCGAAACGCGCCACTGAAACTTGAGGTCAGGGTTGGTAGAACTGATAAATATACTTTTGCTTCTCGTGTCATTTGGCATTTTCCTACTATATTTTCTTTTCCGTCAATGTAATAAGAATCGGTCGCTTAGTTTTAGATTGGGAGTAAAACACGTAAGTCGGTTCAAGTATTACGATAACTCGAGGTTTTTCATTTTTCAAATATTCTCCTTTTTTTCTCGAATATTTTCGATGAAACAGGCCAAAGCCTTCAAGGCTATCTGGCAAGATCTTAGGATTCTGGACGTTGACACTGACCTCACGTTTCAGTAGCGTCAACTGATGAGACTGAAAATGTTTACCCTCATTGCTGAAGCTGTCTAACAAATAACCAATGTACCCACCTGATCATGGGAAACTTCGATCGGTTCCTTAAAAACTATCCAAATAACACACTCAGAACATGGTGGTGTTGTGAGAGAGCCATGGTAGGTATAATAACCACTGTTACTGGGAAGAAACTGCGCTGGATTGAGTGGTACATTGATCTTCGCATTCTCGCCTTTATATTCAATCCTGTTCAGTTGTGCTACCACTTTCTCTAATTCAGGATGCTTTCTTCCTGGCTGTGAAAATTCATGAAGGTACAGTAAGCTCAGAGTAATTGTGTGTGTCAGTATCTAGGCACAATACAGAATAAAATGTCTTTCCAAATTCAGTTGAAACGCCTCGTGTAAGGTCCACCACGTAGACGGACTTCAAATGAACCTCAATCGAACCGACAGCGCGCGTCGTATGTTTTTTACTACATCTGCTTCAATTGACTTCGGAAAGACTCTTCTCCTGAATGAATCTTGATGAAATAAATTGGGTTCCATTTGTTATTCCTAGAGGGATCGTTTATTCTTCAAGAATATACTTGGGAAGACACTTCCTCATTGTTTTTGAATTTGATATCACCCTCAGGTTATCGACAATTTTGTTTTTACCATCGGAGATCAACCAGGGATGAAATTATCACCTAACGTTCAGCATTTACTCATTTACAACCTTTTTTGATCCCTCTTTCAGATAAAAAGGAGAGGTATATATAAAAATAACATAGAACCTAAATATATATTTAAAATAATATAAAACAAGTATCGTCTTCATTACAAAGGACATGTCTCTTTAAAATCATTGATATGAGTCCCTTATAATTCTTACAAATCATAGAAGGACTAGAGAATTTGTAGGCTGAGTACTCGTCTAAACTATACAAGCAATTTCTCACTAACATATCTTTGACAGATTTCCGGAAGTGTTTCAAATCATTGATTATAGCTATATAATCTGGTAAATGATTGTAAATCTTTTTACTCCTATATAAATTGGGGATTGTCTCGTAAAACATGAATTAGGCAGAGGAAGAGCAAGGTTTATTTCATTACTCGTAATCTTGTCCATGTTTGTGTTCATGAAATTTCCTCTATATTTGTGTAGCGAACAGACTGGCTCTGATACAAAAATTTCGATATCCGTCAATAAATTTTAACTTGTAACATGTAGGTTTGTGACACTTGTCAAAGATCTGTGAATGTCACATTCTGAATTTCAGACTCAATAATTTTATTTTAATCATCATGGTTATATGGTCTCTTGATTCAATGATGATGAATAGCCATGTTTTTTGGATACTCACTTGCAAAAATACTCCCAAAACTGCTAAACCATCAGGATATTTCGCTGCATCAGCAAATGTACGATATTTGGTAGAATTCCAGTGAACCAGGTGGAGCTACAAAAAATCGTTATTTAGTGCCACAGGGCTAATATCTTACTTTAAGAGAAGAGAGAGGTTCTGTTCATCAATTCAATATTCAGTTCATTTGTCTTGTGTTCAAGTTGTTCCATCAAAATTTCATATAGACCGTGCTATTTCAGGCAATCGAAACTAATACAGGGTGAGTCGAGAGGACCGCACTAAACTCCAGGTGTGTATTGTAAACGTGGAAATAATTTCAAGAAACCCCCCAGGCAACCAGATGACGAATAATCACGTCACTGTGGCGTCCCTAATAGGTGATTTTTCGTCAGAAACGTTAAACACCAATCTATGACGTCACTATGACGTACTTCCTATGACGTGATAATCACGTCATCGTTTCGACGTCGAGTGAACGTCACTTAGATGGGTTAAAGAAGACGTCAGTTTGCAGACGTTGCAGGGACGTCCTGTCGTGACGTCCATTTTACCCAGACCTCCTCTAAACCATGGACACTGATATATTATCATGTGAAACAGAAGTATAACTCATGAAAGCAAATCAACATGCAAGTTTTATTGGAATTATTAATATACCCGAAAAGTAGGAAAAAACTTTTTTCTAAAAAACTTTGACACACTGTGTATCTCAAAAATCATCAAGCTATATGTACATATATACAAATGATTGTTCAGGTATGCCAATATTGAAACCATCACTCTCATGACGTTGCAGTGACGTTTCTATGACGTCCAAAAATCACGTCGGTGTGACGTACCAATTTTTTGAGCTTCGTCATTCAGAAAATTGTTCATCAATTTGCTATTTGGATTTTTGTTGGGTGACAAAGAATGCATCAATATAAATTATTCAACAAAGTGAAACCGAATTCGCCAACATCCTTTTCATTGCTATCAAACTATTCTTTGTTTGCTTACATCTCGCCGACACAAATACATACATTTTGATACGAATACGAGTAACTGATAGCCTTCTGATGGAAATGCGTACTGAAGGATAGCGCTGCTGAATAGGCGATTGAATGAACATAACACAGGAGGGACACACCAAGCAGACTCAACAATGCAAAATCAATACTATATAATGTCACCAGAAGCCAGTGGTGTTTATCACACCATGTTTAAGGAATTTTTTCTACATATCATCGCCAAATTCAATCGTTATTTTGACGTCATTATGACGTCAGTCAGAGGTCACAGTTTGGTGAGTGAATGACGTCAATACGACGTGAGTAATATGACGTCATTGGGCTGTGACTTATTCACGTCATTATCACGTCATGTGACTTCAACTGCTGACGTCACCTTGGTCATTCAAGTGACGTAAAAAAGACGTCACTGGAACGTCATCTGGTTGCCTGGGCCATATGTTCTCATACGATTCTTATTTGTTTTTAAAATATAGCGTAATCACAACATGGTTTCAATTATGACGCTGTTTCAACAAAGGTTCAAGAATACCCCAATTAACCTCTGAACACATTCTACTACGTCTGTGAAGAGATCTTGTTGCTTTTTTGATTAATTCATGTCTTTCTTTGAGAAACATTGCCGCATTCCTAATGCCTCAAATTAGGGTTTCCTGATTGTCGACTTTCACATTGTACATCTCATTTTCAAACCAGCCCCACAAACAATAATCCACTGGTGTGAGGTCTGGAGATTTTGGAGACCAACTAATAGGACCACCGCGACCAATCCATAGTCCTGAAAACTCTTCGTCCAAATATTGCTTGACCTGATGAGCGAAATGTGCGAGAACTACATCGTGCTGATAATACATTTGCATTCTTATATTCAGAGGAACTTCCTTCAAAAATGCTTTCAACTCATTCCGCAAAAAAAAGTAGTTCTTTCCTGTGAGACGATTTTCTAAAATGTGTTGGCCAATTGAATAACTATCGACCATATACCACACCACACGTTTACCAAAATCTTGTGCTGAAAATTAGTTTCGACTGCTGCGTGTGCGTGTGGACTTTCGTCTGACCATACATGAGAGTTGTGAGTATTATTGATGCCATCACAGGTGAATGTTGCTTCATCGGGAAAAAGTATGCGCGATACCACAAAACGATTATTATTTATCCAACCACAAAATTGCATACGCCTAACATAATCTTTCAATTGTAGGTACTGCACACGCTGTGCATGGTATGTGTCTGTGAAATGACCAATTGAGTAGGAAATCTTCGTAAGCTGGCCGTTGCATCATCTTCTACCAAATTCAGAATATTTTCTACTTCTCCTAAACCTTGTCGAGTGGCTCGTTCAGATGTTATCTAAGTACTGGGCAGAGTTCCGGTCTCGCAAAGTTTTTTGAAAACTCTGATAAAAACGTTTTTGTCCAGAATTCTCCGGTGTGAAAATCGTCGACGGTATTCCTGAACAGCAGCTGTAGCATTTCCATTACAAAAGCCGTAAACAAAATAGTTATTTTTGTATCTAGAGCGCGAAATGCTACTTTGGTGATCGAGATCTGATTTTTTTGACGAGGCGAAGCCGAGTTAAAAAAATAATCGAGATGACCAAAGTATTTCGCGCTCGAGTTGCAAACAACATTTTTTCTACAAACGTCATAAAATATAGTTCTAAAGTAAAAATATGCTCAGCTTGATATAAAAAATAGTGTTGAACTGGCTTGAAAAGCCTCCCCTTATCCTCCCTAGGTACGCACGATGTTCCACGAACATAATAGGAATTTCCTTTCGTGCGCTCCAAGAGATAAAACAAAGTTATCGTTGAACATTCAGAAATAAATGATTTCGTGGATGTTCGCAAGATTGAGGACCATTAAGTTGAAATAAAAATATCTCATATATTTTTCATAACAATGCGCGAAGTAGGTACTTCGCGCACTGTTTTACTTCGCGCATTGTTATGTGCAGAGTTTCATGGTAACGTAGGAAACTGAAAAAAGTGTCACTTCGCAATTTGTTATCAATGCGCGAACCCTGTCATTTTTTGACGTTTGTATAAAATAGTTATTTTTGTATCTAGAGCGCGAAATGCTACTTTGATGATCGAGATCTGATTTTTTTAACGAGGCGTAGCCGAGTTAAAAAAATAGTCGAGATGACCAAAGTATTTCGCGCTCGAGTTGCAAACAACATTTTTCCTACAAACGTCAAAAAATATAGTTCTAAAGTAAAAATATGCCTAGCTTGATATAAAAAATAGTGTTGAACTGGCCTCAAAGACCTCCCCCAATCCTCCCTAGCACGATGATCCACGAACATAATAGGAATTTCCTTGCGTGCGCTCTAAGAGATAAAACAAAGTTATTGTTGAACATTCAGAAATAAATGATTTCGTGGAAGTTTGCTCGATTGAGGACCATAAAGTTGAAATATAAAAATCCCATATATTTTATATAACAATGCGCGAAGTAGGTACTTCGCGCACTGTTTTACTTCGCGCATTGTTTTGTGCAAGGTATCATGGTAACGTAGGAAACTGAAAAAAAGTGTCGCTTCGCAATTTGTTATCAATGCGCGAACCTTGTCATTTTTTGACGTTCGTAGAAAAAACATATTTGTATATTCTAAATGTCAATAGATGTGTGGCATTTCATTAAACTTTAATCGTACGAACTCGAAAATTACGGCGTCAGACACACTGACACTGACACATGTCAGAACAACAGAACAACACACTGACACTAACATAATATATGTCTGAATAACAATACGGACCAAACAATTGGTACCTATACAGCATTTGTGATAAGAATCGGTAAACCATTCGAAATATTTTGATTACGCTATAATTTCAAAACAAATAAGAATCGTATAATAACATAGGTTTTTTTTTAATTATTTGCACGTATACAATACACACCTGGAGTTTGGTGCGTTCCTCCCGACTCACCCTGTATATACTCATCTAGGTATATACTTATCCCAATTTCACATAGAGAGTACTGATTCCGATGTTTGGGAATTCCAAAATCAGTTTCATTATTCAAATGTAAAAGCTTTTACTTCATTCAATTGAAAATAATTATTCAAGTTATGGAATTATATGGACAATTGCATTTCCAAATTGAAGCACATGAACTCTTCTGATGAAGAATGCAATAATAATCGATGTGGAGTAACTGCAAATTATGGCATAAATTTCGAGCATTTAGTGAACATTCTTATGGTATCCAATTGATTATGCCTATGCTGGCGCAATACAAAATTCAGATGATTTACCTCTCCTGCAAAAGTTTCGCCATTGATGGTGTGTTCAGAGCCCCTATCATTCGATTCTCCCCAGTGACAATGGAATTGTTCAAGTACATATTTTCCATCCAATGGACCTCCAGTCAATTCTGTAAAATGATAAAAAGTAGAAAATTATATAGGATTATGGAATTTGAATTTGAGAAATGAAATTCGACATTTTTTCATGTTTATCTCTCGGCCACATCACATCAAACCAAGATCATTGAACTCTTGGAAGCGTTACTTACTAAATGTGATAGCATTGTTCATTCAGAGCCACTGTCAAAAGTTTCGGTAGATCCAAATGACCTGGAATTTCTGACTGCGCATGATTCTATACTAGGAGTCACTTCCAAATCTTACGAAACCATCGAAATGGCCACCAATGGTGAGCCCATTCCCTAATAACACAGGCCATCCAATAGATGTCCATTTTAGGTCCAAAAAAGTTTCGGATATCCATGGACAAGAAATGTACATCCATTGGATGAAGCAAAATGCCTATCCAATGGAATACCACCGACACTATTCCAAAGGATATCTAAAAAAGTTCCGGATATTGATGGACATGAATTGTACATCCATTGGATAAACATAAATTCTCATCCAATGGATTACTAAGTGACACCTTTCCAATGGATATCCATAATGTATCAATTGGCCTGAGAGAATGTAACTGCCATCGCCATCTTTGTTTCGTGTTCTCTATTGTCTCTGATGTTCGTCATGTATTCCGTACCTTGAGTCGTTCGTGTTTACTGTTATTGTATGCAGAAGTTTGTATCGTTTGAGGCAGATTCATGCAGCGTATTAGTGAACTAATTATTCGAGTCGTCCCTTGAGTCGTTCGTCGTGTTTACTGTTATTGCATGCAGAAGTTTGTAGGTATCGTTTGAGACAGATTCATGCAGCATTTGAGGTTATGTGTAATGATTACTTTTTCAATTTGTTCACATATTATTTTATGAAAAGTGTGTGTGTGTGATCTCTCATCTATTATTTTCAAAGGAATCATGCATCGTTACATTTGAAATATTCAATAGTGCTTTATTTCTCTCAATTAACCCAATTAAGAGAAATTGTGATTAAATAATGAACGTTGTATGAATCAACCATTTAAGCTGTACAAGTGAATACTATAGAGGTAAATGTATCATAGCAGGGCTAAAACAGCTCTACTTTAGACTCTTGGGACAACATTATAGAAGAAAAAATATATTCAAAATTCATATAGGGGGAGACTTTTATTTATATTGCCCAAAACTTATACATAAAATGTATAATTCATGTACAATATTTGTACAATAGGTGTACTGTAGCTGTCCAATTCATTTCCAGTAGTTGTACAATTCATGTCCAATATTTGTACAATTCATGTTCAATAGGTGTACAATTCATGTCCAATAGTTATTCAATTTATGTCCAATAGTTATACAATATTATGCTCAGTAGTTGTACAGTAGATGTACATGATGTACATCCAATGGACATCCAAACTTGTGGCCTCTGGATTTACAATGGATGTCCATTGGAAAGAAGCTGGACATTTTGAGCCATCCAATGTACATCCAGCATGTCCATGTACGCCTATCCAATGGATATCCATTGAATAGCTTTGTGTTATTAGGGTTAAAGTCAACGATATTGTGATCATGATGAATGGAGACGTAAAAAATGGAAATCAGGCAAGGTAGAAGCTGTATATCCAGAGACAGCATAGACAGCAAAATCTGGGTAGCCTATGTAAAAATAATGGAGTTCAGAAGGAGATGGGGATTTTTCACGGGGAGACGAAAAGTTCGAGAGCCTTATATACCACTTGTATAATTTTCTCTACATTATTTTAATTTTTTCATCACCCAGTGCAAGGTGGTGACTCTGAATGACATCCAATCATTTTGAGAATGTACTCTGAATCGTGACTTGTATTTTTTTTATAATGAATAGTAGTTTCGCCAAATCGAGCAAAACTTTGATTCAATTGAAGGCGAACTGCCAGTCTCTTTCCTTAATGAGAATTCTCCTCATATTGATAGTCTTTACAACTCACTATTCAAGAACTGATGTTAAAAAACGACTTGACGTGTATACACGATTCGCTAATCGTTGAGCAAACTATTTTCAATTTATACATACCTGACCCTTCCCCATTCACTTGAACTTTCCAACCATATCCTTGATTGGAAACTTCATCCGTATTCTCTGGCACATATTTCCATTGCAGCTTCCTATTAGTATTCAGTGTCTTCAAGTCCACTGGGTTGATATCAATGGGACTCTGCCTGGGGCCAGCTGCATCAGGGAAACACTCTGGCCATGTTTTGGGACCTGTAATAAGAACACGAGGAGATTTAATTCACGAATTATTATGAAGTCACATTTTCGATGTGAGTACAGGAAATGCCAGATCAATAATCCAATAATATTCAACTCATAGATAATGGCTAGAGAATGAGAAATTGACGACAATATAAGAGTGAGGCGCAATAAGGCGCAAATTTTGGTGACTGAAGATCACAAATCCATGAGTCTGTTGGAGGAAGGAGATTCAGTTTTGGTTTACTATGTCAAAACGTTCTCAGAATGGTGATGACTTGTTGAACCTACGGTTGCAGTAATAAACAGAAGTGCAAGAACATTATCGTCTGTTCTATCATGTTGTCTCTACTGGTGTGTTCGGCGAGTAATTCAACTGAAACCATGAATACTTCATTTATTATCCTACTTTCACCTGATTTCCAGCTATATATTCTTCAATACTATATGAAACATGGAGATCTGCTTTTCAGTATATGTATTACCCTAGATTTTCTGTGATTTTTTGTCCTCGGTCAAATAATAAAAATATTATGAGTATTATCTCAATATACAGGGTGATTCAGAAGGTGTCTCTGTCGCTAGGGTAGGTGAAACACTGAAAAATAAGTTAGATTTGCTTAGTAAAAACTTTCCATTAAACAATGTTTATACACTTCTTCATAATTATGTTGAAAAAACTGACAATATTGTGATGGAATTTTGTATGAATATATGTTTTGGGAGATGACTTATCGCATAACATTGTCCTCATTTCTGACAATTATGGAGGGCGCTGGTTACACGGTGAGTAAAAACTGAAGCCAGAATTGTGTCATATCGAACCAAGAGGGATGCTGAATGCTTGAATGCAGCCATATCATTATCGACTCATTACAATTAACACAGTTACAGTCACTGTTATAGGGGAAGTTAATGATCTTCTTAGTCTTTGTACTGTTGATTGCATTTATATAGAGTCAGCTGCAGCCAACGTCTACTTTTTCAAACCAAGGAGAGCATAAAGGTCCTTTTCTACGTCGTTTCATCAGATAGTGAAGAATATATTGTACGATGAACTGAGTCATTGCGTATGCGTCGGAAGCTAGTGTCTCAACCTATGGTGCAAACCATAGTGATTGAAATGTCGGATACTTATTTAAGAGAGAATTGAATCAAATCATGCAGGTAATTTCAATTAGACATTCTGTATGATATCTGAACAAGTTCATGGATTATATATTTTTTTCTGTGACGGGAAAAAAGTTCTGCATTTCATCTCTGTTGGCAGGTTATAAAATGACACTTTTCATACATTACTTTTTCCCGTGGGAAAAAAGTGATTAGTTTTTTCCTGGATATAGATCACATATATATATACACTGTTGATGGCTTTTATTGTGCTATATTTCCGAAAAATGAGTCAATAATATACCGTCTCCGAGAAAGAACTGCAAGTCCTTTTATCTTCCATTCGACTTCGCGGTTACGTATATTACTAAACAACCACTTAATGCACAATTTTTTGGAATCAAATCACAGAATCAGACTGACAGAAGTGACATCAGATATATGATTACTTCAAAAGAATGATAAAGATGCCTACAACGCAGGTGTCCCTACTGTTGAAAACTTAAATTTTCATGTCGATAATTTTCAGATTTCAAAATATTGTAATATCTTCTCAATATTGATTCGTCCTTTCTTCTGTCACACAAAATTATATTTTTCTACATTCATACAAAAAGCAGAACTTTATTGAACTATATTTAGTGGAAAAAGAAGTTCTTTATTGCACTGAGTGCAATAAAGTTTTTATTGCACCCATCTGTCATTCTACTTCAACGTGCTGTCATCATGACAAACATTTTTTATATTGCAACTGTGGTTATAGAAACGTCAGTCAAAAATTAATTCTGACAATTAACAGAATTGTACCTAGTGCCGCACCTCAATAAATCATTTTTTGCTTTTTGCATGAACGTAGAAAAGATGTTGTATGCAACTCGTGCAAAAATTGTTTATTGCACTCGACGTGTTGTCCAACTCGGCCTATCACTTTTTGCACTTGTTGCATAAATAACTATTAATGCACGAACGGGCGTGAAGTAGTGGCACTTTAGCGTCCGTAGACTCAATCATCATCATCATCAATGAAGTCGAGCACATTGTGATACAGAAGGCAGTTCATTTTTTCAAATATGCTTTACATTAACGACAATGAGAGCAATGCAATTCAAAACAACGTGATCGACCATAATTAGTTTCATTTCAATTAAAAAAAAATGCGGCCACATTTCGATGTGACAACCTGTTAAAAATATATTCTCCCATTCATGAATATAATTATGTCAAAATTAGATTTTCATTGAATACTTGATGAACGTGATAATCTGTCATATCCTGTACTATATTACTGATTCCAATGATCGTCCATTTTCGGGAATACCTTCAATTCGTCAAACCAAATTTCAATGTAGTTAGTATTTTCTATACTTGCCGAATTGAAAAACTATAGCTTGACTCTTGGCAAGTAATTCTGATCAGCTAGTACTTAATAGGTATTGTAATGATATTATCTTAGAGGGACTCTGGAAACATCATCAGGAGAGCAAGAGTACAACGATCTACAGAATGAACACGCATTTCAGATTGTTCTCCAACATCTCAATGATTTCTACATTTACCATCAGCCTATTCCCGAACACTCAATATAATGTCGCAGTGACAAATAACGTGACAGAAGATTCTGGAGTGTTCGAGAACGTTCTCGAACCAAAGCCTACCAAGGCATATCATATATAAACGGCCAGACAACTGCCGTCAGGGAGTCAAGCAGCGAGTGTCAGAGAAACAGTCATATACTGCGTGATATAAATCGTTTTACGTAAATAGTGGTTATAAGTTCGATATAAATCAGTGTTTCTTTAGTTGAAATAAATCAGTTCGAAAATAAATAGTGTCCGTGTTCGCTTCTGCACCCAAATAAGGTAACAGTATATTATGATAACATTTTCTATTCATCGTAGGTACTGGGTCAAACTTTTTCTGCGCTGAATGTTGTTTCTCTTCGTTTATCGTATGTATTTAATCAGTGAGTACATAGTTTTAGTCGAGGTATCAATTAGGCGAATCAACGTTAGGTTAACTCATCGTATTAGTAGGTATTTCACTTAAAGAAATATTGTGCTATCAGAACGTATCGTGTTTGCAAGCATTTTCCAGTGAAAATCGTATATCAAGTTGGAAACGGTCGAGTAAATAAGAAAAACTAAATCTTTCTAGAATTCCAAAAAATTCTTCTGGTGTGGATTTAGAAATTGTTGTCTCATTTCCCGGTCTATTGAGTCTTTCTCGATGTCGAGTGATGTTGATAAAACACTGCTTATTATTAGAAAGTTCAAGGTGCGAGTTGTTTGTTGTCATTTCTCAATCCACTTCATTTTTTAGAGTCTAGATAATCGTCCTCCGAGAACCTTAGTCTCTATATGAACCTTGCGACAGAGATAATCAAACCATAAGAGATTCAAAGACTGATATTTTGCAGTGACATAATAATACCATCATGGGAAATAACGTTGTATTGGAGAATAATACGAACCTGATCATAAATACAGCTTTATGTGTGGTATTGAGATATTACGAAGGAAATCAGATAAATCCAAATGTTGCGGTCACATGGTCTGGTGTTGGTTATGTTTATTTCTCCGTGGTGATGTTACCGTGGTATGGACCCGACAGTGAATTTGGCAGTTGCATAGGTCAATACCAGAAGTTCGAGGATAAAATACCGATTTTGGCTACGAATGTATCCAAGTATGGTGAGGCAGAGTTGGGCTATTTCAAAATCAAGACAACAAAAAATCTAACATATAACGAGGCCGAAGATCGTATTAGAAATTTGGCGTATTGGGGCGATGGATTCAAAGTAGCTGGAAGGACTATAAGGTTATGGGGAGGACCGCCAAGATATTTGGTATCAGAAAGAGAAATAGATATAAGTGAACATTTCGATCCCATCAGATTATCGTTGAGCGATTAATGAAGTCAGTCTATCATCAGATATTGCAATATTATAATGATAATCGGTATTGAAATAACTATATATTATATTCAATAGAGTCACTGGATGGTATATATTAGTTAATTATTATCATTTAACTAATACCATGCAGTGACTCTAGTATTCACAAATGTGTTTCTGAATTTTGTGTCATAGTTTATTTTATGCAGTCTGTTCCATGATTGGAAGTGAAAATAAACAATATATCTACTAAATTATTTCATTTCAATATAGAGGGTATATTCAGTGACTCTCACTTCGAGCATCAGCATCACCCGTTGTACTCAATGCAGTCTACTTTTCTGAGTTCTCAATTCTCTCATCGAAATATCATATAACCAACTATGGCCAATTTGAAAGGCAAAAAATCAGATACAAATATCAAGCATTTTTGTAATAAAGAACAGATTTTATCAGTATGTTAAAAAACTGGTGGAACATCGATTACACGCTGATAACTTAAAGAATGTGTTTTTCATTAGAAATGGGTGTGTACATACAGTGTCGGTACAGTGCATCCCATTTTGGGTGAGACAGCCAGGTTTCTCGCTTGTTATTTGAGATAGAGCTTTGCGGTTTTCACGTTCCTGTCCTACTTTTTTGTGAAACTCAAGATGGCCTAATCAGATTTTGCATAACTGTTTCCGTTTATGAGATACAGGGCGATTTTGGAAATTTATACTTTTCGAGCCCCTCCTTAATCTCCGAAGTTATCAGAAATAATGCTGAGCTGAAAACTACGTCTGATACAGAATTCCGCGTAGAATCCACTGACACACTCACTTTTTTTTTCGGGGTATGGTTTTGAATATACGACACAAACTTATATTTTTTCCAATGGAACACCCTGTATTTTCTCACTCCATTGAATTTGTTATTTTTTTCCCTTCAAAATGATGCATGATACTATATAGGTAGGATGTTTAGAAATGCTAAAAAAACACTAAAACATCACATAATGATGATTTTT